CTGCAATCTCCACGATGTCTGAGTAGTCAGTTGTGGATGTGATTGAGAAGGCTCTCTGCTGGTAAGTTTTATTTAAGAGAGAATTGCATTATTATTTAAGTGATTGATGCTGTAAATAAAGTATAATAGTGATGTGTATACCCCCTGCATTATATTTCTATTACTTAGCATGTGTTTTTACTTTGATTATATGGACCTCTTGATTATCTGGAATATTTGATCAACTGGCACACTTCTGGTCCTATAGATGCCGGATAATAAAAAGTTTGCTGTGGTAAATAATTGAGGCCCTGAGACTCACCGTTGTGGCACTCTACTAGTTACATCTTTCCAACCTGAAAAAGACCTATTAATCCTGATTCTCAGTCTTCTGTGCATCAACCAATCCTCAATCCATGCTAATACATTACCCCCCAAATACTGCAAGCTCCTATCTTGTGCAATAACATTTTAGGTGGCACCTTATTGAATGTTTCTGGAAATCCAATTTTGCTACATCGACCGGCCCCCCCTTATTAACTCTGCTTGTTATAGGGTGGCACGGTGGCTCAGTGGTTAGCACTGCTGCCTCACAGCACCAAGGACTCAGGTTCAATTCCACCTTCAGGTGCTTGTCTGTGTGGAGTTTGCACATTCTCCCTGTGTCTGTGTGGGTTTCCTCTGGGTGCTCTGGTTTCCTCCCACAGTCCAAAGATGCGCAGGCTAAGTGGATTGGCCGTGCTAAATTGTCTGTAGTGTTCAGGGATGTGTAGATGTGTAGATGGGTTACAGGGAAATGGTAATGGGTCTGGGTGGGGTGCTCTGAGAGTTGTTGTGCTGAAGGGCCAGTTTCCACACTGTAGGGATTCTATGATATGTTCTCAAAGAATGCTAGGAATCTTGTTAAAAGGAATCTTGTTAAACATGATTTCCCTTTCATAAAACCTGTGAAATTCGTCCTGAACAGGCTTCAGAGTGTTGACTGTTTGATTGTGTTAACATTTCTCAATTTATGTTGTGTCTTTCTTAATGATGGGGCTCTAGCATTTTGCCAATGACAGATGCTAGGCTAACTGACACGAGGTTTCTTGCTTTCTGTCTCTAATCCTTCAAGCATGAGAGTACACAACAAATCAGTGGGCTTGGAGTTTGTAGTGTGTGAACTGGAATAACACTCACGTTTTTAACCCCTGGGTGTTTAACAGAGGCTCAAAACAGGGAGTAAGTGAGAAAGGGGAACAGAGCACACAATTGCAATGGCAAATACTCCCACCCTTGTTCTTTGGAATTGTTGATGATCTGCTGGAATTTGACTTGATTTATTATTGTCACCTGTACCGAGGTGTAGTAAAAGGTATTGTTTTGCATGCTATCCAGACAAATTGTACCTGACCTAAGTATGGAACAGAATTCAGAATATCGTGTTACAGTTGGAGAGAAGGTGCAGAGAAAGATCAACTCTAATGTATGAGAGATCCGTTCATAAGTTACGTATTCCCCAAAGCAAGATACCAGTCCAGTGCACACCCACAATAATCATCTGGTTACTTGTTCTACCTGGTCTCAGGCAATCCTGCTAGCCCCTACTCAACAGCAATGGCTTATATCCAGGAGCTAATTAGGGGGCAGGACGCTGTTCCCTGAAGGCTACCATGAGCTGCTATTGAGGGGGTATTACCTCAATAACTGCATCCCCAGGATCAGGGTTGGGGTAATGTTGAGCTTGGGGTGGGGGAGGGGTGTATGGGGGGAAGGTTGGGCAGAGCAGGAAGGCTTACTCCTTACAATGCAAATAACTGGCTCCTGCTGAGCAAAGCTGTCCCTCATGGCGCAGCTGAGCTGAGGGCATTGCAGGGTGTTTGCAAAGAGGCATCAGGGAGCTTCCCCACTCTGCTGAGAATTGCGGAGCGGTTATGGTGACCGTGGAGGCCATTTGGCCCATCATGGCTGTACTGGCCCACCAAGCAACCCTTCGTTTGCTGAACCCCAATTGCTGGCTGCTTCGGAAAGCAGGAGAGGGAGTACTGGGGGGAGAGACGTGAGACCGCAGCTTGAACTAGGAGCTATGACAGGAAGTGACGACATGGCCAACAACATAATGCAGAAAAGATCAGGTGAGTCATCCCAGTGGTGGCCGCAATTCCTTACAGCGTAGTTCTCAGTGAGAATGACCCAGTTTTTAGGCAGAGTTGAGTGGTCAGTTTTGAAAAGTAAGGTCAGTTATAGGCGCAGGAAGGAGAGCTTGGAAACAACGCGGTGCTGACTTGAGCAGAATCAGAGCGACGCTACATAAATGTACCACATGGACAAGGCCAGTGTCTCTGAGTTTCCAAGGGCCACCTTTCCAAATGGATTTGTAAGTATGGATGCCCTGTTTCCGCACCCCCCCTCCCCCACTGTAAGTTATTTACTATTGAAGACCCATAGAAGTGGTATTATCCCAGAAAATCAGCTAATGTTCTGGGGACCTGGGTTCAAATCCTGCCAAGGCAGATGTTGGAATTTGAATTCAATAAAAGTCTGGAATTGAGAGTCTTTTGATGACCATGAATCCATTGTCAATTGTCAGGAAAAACCCATCTGGTTCACTAATGTCCTTTAAGGAAGGAAATCTGCCATCTTTACCTGGTCTCCAGACCTGATGTGGTTGGCTCTTAATGGCCTCTGGCCATTTACGGATGGGTAATAAATGCTGGTCTAGTCAGAGATGCCCTCATCCCATGAGTAAATTAAAAAATAGGGTGTTTTCACAATGCTTTTAAGAAGATTGGGGTGTATGTAATGTCCAGGAGTGAATGTGATAGTGGGCCCTCTCTCCTTTATGTGATATTTGACACTCATAAATCAATCTCCATTCCAATGGGATTCTATGCTTAGGCTTCATTGCTAGGAAATGATATTTTGTGATGTTTGGCAAAGGAGCAAGGAAAAGCTTTACGCAGAAATATGGAAGATAGGAGCAGAAGTAAGCTATTCAGGCCTTTGAGCCTGCTCTGCCATTCATCAAACTGACCATCCAACTCAGTCTGCTGCTTCTGCTTTCTGCCCATACCCTTCGATCCCTGTAACCCCAAGAACTAGGTCTAACTCCTTCTTGAAAATATTCAACGTTTTAGCCTCAACTGCTCTCTGTGGCAGAGAATTCCACAGGCTAACCACTCTGAGTGAAGACATTTCTCCCCATCTCAGTCCTTTCTTCACTTATTCCAGATCATAGAATCGTAGAATCCCTACAGTGCGCAAAGAGTCCATTTGGCCCATCAGATCTGCACTGACCTTCAAAGATCATCCCACCCAGACCCCTTAAACCCCACATTTTCCATATCTAAACCACCTAGTCTGCACATCCGTGGACGCTACAGAACCAGGAGCAGGAGTGGACCATTCAGCCCCTTGAGCCCACTCCATCATTTAATGGGATCATGGCTGATCTTATCTTGACCTCATCTCCAATTTCCTCCCCTCTCTCCATAGCCCTTCAACGCATTACCGATTTAAAATCTGTCTATATCCTCCTTAAATTTTCTGAATGTCCCACTGTCCACCGCTTTCTGGGGTAGTGAATTTCCCATGACCAGTCTGCACATCCTTGGACTGATGCCGGCAGCCCAACAAATAGCCAAACTTTGAGAATGTCTTTGCTTCTCAGACTAAAGCGGAATCCTTTGACTGATGTTGGGCTTCATCTTGGGCCTGCCTGGGTCAGAGCACGGCTGACCACTGGAATCCCTTGGGGAATGGGAGCCCCTGTGATTAAGCAGCGCTGGCGGGGGAATGGAGGAGATTTTTGTTGGGGGCACAGTCTGAGGGCAGGCAGCACAGGATGGGGCAGCAATGCCTAGGGAGAGGCACCTAAAGGTGGAAGCACCCTCCAAAGACCAGTTTATAAATGATGCAGCAACAGGCCTGCAGCCTGACTTGAGGCCTTCAGTGTACTTCCTTGGGCTGGGTATCCCCTTATGCTGCGGTCTTTGCACTTTTGTGGCCCAGGATGATTAGAGAGAAATTATTTCCTCACATGGGTGGGAGTCAAAGGAAAGGGGCCAAAGCCTTCATACTACAGCTAGGCCTAAAAGGGGCAACGTGACCCCCTCAGACAAGGGGCACTTCTGGAAGTTTCTCGCCTCAAACAGACTAGAATAGGGGTGGGGGTCAGTTGGAAATTTCACAAGATGGGACTTGATAACTTTTTTTTTGTAACAGGGGAGGGTTGAGCATCATGAAGCACCAAGGCCTAGAACCAGGAGCAGGAGTAGGTCATTCAGCCCCTCGAGGTCGCTCCATCATTTAACAGGATTATGGCTGATCTTATCTCGACCCCGAAGCCACTTTCCTCCCCTCTCTCCATAACCTTTCAACCCATTCCTGATTTAAAATCCTCCTCAAATTTATTCAACGACCTCCCTCTGAGCCAGTGAATTCCACAGATTTATGACCCTTGGTGAGAAGTCATTCCTCCTCGTTTCTGTTTTAAATCTGCCCGGCCTTGTGCTAAAACCACATGAAGTTACGGCTGTGTAGGAATCCACACGGTGCAGAAAGAGGCCATTCATGCATGCAAAGTTGCAATTATGTTGATTCATTTCAACTGTATCGTGGTTGGAATTATAGCTCTTGGATGCGGGGCCTTCGGAGCTCATTTAATTCCGCGCCGACCTTCGAAACAGGACCCCACCCAATACCCTGGACCCTACATTTAGCATGGCTAATCCACCTTGCCTGCACATCCCTGGGACTGTGGGAGGAAACCCACGCAGACACAGAGAGAACGTGCAAACTCCAAACAGACAGTCGCCCGAGGGTGGAATCGAACTTGGGTTCCTGGCGCTTGTGAGGCAGTAGTACCGCCACTCCGTTAAAGCTCCAGGATGAATGTGCGGAACAGCGGAGAAGGCAGGGGGAGGAGCTGATAGATTGGAATAATAAGCTGGCAGGCTGTGTGGTGGTGTTAAGGAAGGGGTAGGGCGGTGGCAGCGTTGTGTCGATCCACCTCTCAACGCTGTCCCTTTGTCTCCCGGCAGAGTTCTTTGAGGAATGCATCAGGAAAGCTGAGATCGAGGCCAACCTCCCGGTCATCATGAAGAACTCCGTCTACGTACAAAGAGCGGCTGCTCGCAGGATCAAGAGTTGCAGGTTCCGCCGGAGGAAGTCCACTGCCGTCTGGAACTCCTTCGGTAAGTACACCCAAGCGAGATTCCCGAGAGCGGGGTGGCAAGTTGTGGAGG